CAAAATTTTATTGAATCATAAATATGTTGAAAACCTATTTTACAAAATAATTTTAGAAATACTTGAGTATTAATTATCTATATAGAGTTTCAAAATTGGGGAATATAAGTGATTTTTGGAGTTTACGATTTGAGTTATAAGGCCCGGTACGGAAATTTTATAGGGAGTAAAATCAAGTGTAACACGGAAAGTTGAGGTGTTACGTAGAAAGAGACAAACATATATATCTGTAGAATTGAACGTGCAAAAGAATGAGATGGAATACATTACACAGTGTATCTTATTCTCGGGGCTTCCTCTTTGTGCTATGCTTCTTAGTCTCACTGTATAGTTCACTACCTCTGGTTTGAGAGTCAAATGTGTACGTATGTTTGTATTGTGTGTATTGCGTGCCTGCGTATTACGAAGTTCTGCCGCAACTTAAGCCAAAAAAAAAGGTTTAGTTTTTTGTGAATATTTGAAAAACTAATAAAGATTTAAAAATTTTTAAAAAGATTCAAAAAGAGGAGGAAATTTCCTAAAAAAAAGTCCCAACTCCTGGAACTGTAGGACCAATATTTATAATTTTCCCAGAGGGATGAAAATACGGTCAAAAACGGGTGCTCTGGCTTGTGTAAGCCACGCCTCCTTTGGACACTTTATTAATGAATAATTATTTTAACATATTGCATATAAAATTTAAGAAATGAAAAAAATCAGGGCCTTACTGGATAGATAAATGAACAATAATTCGCCTGAAAAAAATTTTTATCACAATTTTTCAATTAGTTATGCAATAGTTAATTAATAATTTTTATCTGCTTGAACATGTACATTGCAAGTGTGATAATTTTTAAACTATAAATTTGAGGTTTTTTTTTCTCTTATGGAGCAATTCTTGAAAGACTCCAGAATAGATTCCTGTTGGAAAAATCAAAAAATTTTTATTTTTTAGTTTTTTATTAATAATTTTCGTTGTTACAAAATTAAAAACTCAAATTAATCATCGAAAAAATTTATTTTTTCTAAATATTATTAATGATCTGTTTTTATGTTGTCAGAAGCTGCATAAAAATAATTTTTAAAAATTTTTATCTCTTATTGTTTAAAAAATTGCTATAAACAAATGCGTTGTTTATAAGATAATTGAAAATTTTTTTGCAGAATTTCAATCTTTGATACAAATAATGATTTTTAAAAGAAAAATTGTTATTTAAACAAATTTTTGGAGTTTATTGGAGTTTACACACAATTTTTTTATTAATATCTGTCGATATTAATTTGCGATTCGAAAATATTAACAAATTAATAGAGTTAGCTATTTTGACAAAGTAGTTGTATATTACTCTCTTAAAAGAAATCAGTGAAATTTGACTGTTTCACCAGTGGAGGTCACTGATTTCAACCAGTGAATGCAATTTCACTGGTGAATCAGTGAAATCCACTGATTCACCAGTGCCATTGTATTCACTGGTTGGATCCAGTGAAATTCCACTGGTGAACCAGTGAAATTTCACTGATTTTTTTTTAAGAGAGTAATTAATGTAAATAAATGTTTCATGTACGCTTCGAGTAATATAATGGTTAATTTCATTTAACATTATTTATTAATCTATATATACGATATAATCGTTCGTAAGGAGTAAATTCCAGTCGTGCGTCGGAGCTGACACACACACAATTTTTTTTCTTTCTTTCCAGATTGGAGCGACTGAGAAGAAATTAATATTATTGCAATAAAAACATAAAAGGACTTAGAGTGTGAATTGCATGTGAAATTTATTAAATAATGTAGAATAACTTGAATAAGTTAATCTAATTCTTTAGATATTTTACCAAGTCCAAATTTTTTCGTTCTGAATAACGAACGATCATATTATAATTTGACGATAACCCTAATTAAGAAACTTAACTGAAAATTATTTAATCCATGCAAAGTATACATCTATATATATCAGTCAATTCAAATTATTTTGAATTCTTTCAAATTGTTAATCATTTAAAATTAGATTTTTCAATCAGGCAAGACTAATATTGATTACTACTGTTAGAAATAAGATCTCTTTTTTTTAATAAATATTTTTTTTTTTTTTCTTAATTTGTTTAAAGTCGCATAAACTACTAAGGTCATGAGCGACTACGGTAGGGGGTAAACTTTTGAGATTGGAACTCGTTTGTATTTCTTGGGCTGAGTAGAATAATACACTTAAATATTGAAAATATTCATTGGTGTATATGTTAGAATGGTAACCATTATCTTACTCTTTAAGGATCTTTTTTCCGATTTTTGATATCACCTATGGTTATTGAGTTATTTACGAAAACTGAAATTTTTTATTTTGTTTATGTTTTTTGTTGATAACAAATTGAAATTTTTATCAAAAAAAAATAAAAAAACAACATTATTTTCAGAATTTAATTCCTCATTGAATGAGTGATTGTTCATATTTTAATCACAATTCCAAAGATTTTTCTCAGCAAATTTACACAGGGTTCGTCCAAAAATTTCCGTTACTATGTAACGTAGTAATGGTTACCATTCTACATAGGAATAAGATCTAATCTTTTCTCTCCGTATAGTTAAAAATTTTCGTTTACAAGTATAAATATTCTTATTCATGAAGATAAGTTATACTTCTTTTGATTTAATAAAATTTTCTTAAATCACGAAAAAATTTTTACTTTTTTTAAGTTTAAAATTGGGTTTAAATTAACAAAGACATAAAATCTATTCTAATCAGCTCGTTTTTAGATAAAAATTTCGCTTGTTAAGAAAGAAAATTTTTTCAAGCTATTTCTTTTTTCAAAAAATTTTATTTTTCAATTAAAAATCTAATAGAAAATTTTTAGAAAAACAATATTGACTGTAAACTATTAAAAAATATACAATTTGATAAAAAAACACTTGAGTGGATGACTTTTAGAATAGTCAGACTTCAGCAGCATTCGCCCTATAAGAACTGTGATACATACATTTATATTTCTACATTTGTAAAAATGGTGATAGTAACTTTTTTATTTTCAATAACTGAAATTTACAGCAGTAAAATAAATGACACAGCGACTCTTATAAAAGAAAAGCAATTCACACATGTATATACATGACTGTAAATATCGAATTGGTTTTCACATTGGATAAACGATATCACTGTCAAGTACAGAAGCCCCCGGTTCTCGTTATATTGGTCTTAGAAGTTAGAGAATACGTATGGATTCGAATTTCCAGGCTCGTTCGCATGGTTAACTTGCCCAAACAGAAATTACCATTTTATTGGGTGAGTTCTAGCGTTTCTCTTAAACGAAACCCTCTGTCTTCTTTTTTCCTGGCTATAGTTCTCGCTGGTACTTTAGTATCTCACCCTCTTACACTTTACGACGACCCCTAAATGTATAGCGCCGATGAGAATACCTAATCGTTCCTGCGAATATTTAGAATCAATTGTTCAAGAGTTAACTCTATATATCTCTATATACTCTATATAGATTGATGTTAGCCATCGGTCAATAGGAATTTCACTGCATTAACTATAAGTTATTCCCTTCAACCGTAAATTTTTGATTGAAATTTTTTAGTTGCCTACACTCATCACTTTTTATTAAATTTACTTTCACGTAATAGATTGAATGTTGCCTTTAGATTATAATTATTGATTGTCTGGGGGCAAACTAATATTCTTTCTTCAATTCAACGATTTTCGTGACTGCAATTAAGCTAAAAGAAAGTTGAATAATTAAATGCCCGAGGTACGCCGAGCGAAATTAATTGAAACTTAATTAAAGTCACCCTTTGAAATGCTAATTCGTTAACAAACATACGCTGCCTCTGTCTATTTTATGGATATTCGATTTTCTTCGAGTTTAATAAGTATATATTCATCCAATTGATTTTTTCTCATTTTCATTTATTTTTCATTAATTTTAACAGATATTTTATCAATTTTATACACTTTTGCCCTTATTTAAATGAATAATGCACATACATTTAAATTTTTAAAATAAACGATTAGAGACGGGTTGTATAAATTAAAACATATATAATTAAATATGTACATCAAATTTTATTTCATCTCGATAAATTATATACAGATAGAAATTTTTTGTTGGGAAAAACAGAAGAAACGTTGATTTAATGAATTTCACAAAAAATGTGTTTATGACTCTTCGTCAACAATTGTCAGAATATAAAATAATAATAATAATATATTCGGCTATTCATTGTGCGTCATCACCAAGTTATGTATGCTAAAACGGTGCTCAACCACTTTTAAGTGAGAGCAAATTACAAGCAAAACAGTTTTCATTTACAATTATCAGATCACATACGCACTAAATTTCTATTTTCACTCATCATTACTCATCACATACTCATTAGCAACACAATTATTTTCACACTTTGCGGTCTTACAACTTATTAATACTGCATAATGTTTTATTATTTATATTATTAATTAATATTCACCATTATTTTTCAATTATTCTGCTTGGATTTATCATTATTTATATCTAGACCAAAATTTTTCTAGAGTAATTCGCTCAGACCGGCATTATTAATTTAAATTAAAAAATTAATTTAACCGGTGCGATTATTTTCATTTTAACCTCACACACTCTCTACATACAAATTAATTAATCATTTCATAAATCTATATTATTAATATCAGTTATATCTAATTAATAATTATTGAATTTAAAACAGTTTGTGGCGTGTACTTGATCGATTAAACATTTTTTTTATAAATCACTTAATGTCTTTTGCAATCTCACTTGTGTCATTATCTGATTGACGCAAATTATAAAAAGTTATTTGTCGCTATTTATTTTATTGCACGTTTTTGCAACTCTCAATTCGAGATTAAGATTAAAGATTCTTTGTCCAGAGCGACGACGGTAGATAACTATATTTTGACACTTTCATATCAATATGCTTGGATTATTATAACATAACATATCATCTAAAGACATTATTTAGCTTTTTGTGGAGGTACATGGTCTTGTATTTTATAGTCAGCAGGGGTGTAATTTCATCCTGCCATTTGTAAGCTCTTGGTGATACTCTCGACATGTTCTTTAGCCCTCATCCTCAGAGCTTGGATGCTAGATGTTCTTGGATCGTGGCCTGGTGGACTTGGCGATGCTTGTGTATGCCCAACTGTGTTCATTCCGGGGATTCCCCCGTTTAACGTACCTAGGGACAATAGAAACGAACTAAAATTACTAAATTATCGAGCTTCATTAATAAATGGTGTTCATTTGTTCAATCTTTACCTGGAATACCATTTCCAATTGCTGAAACGTTTGGAGGAGATGGTAGCCGCCTTGGAGACGTTAAATAACTGGGGTAACCCGTGTGCGGTGCTGCTAAAAATCCAGGAAGTGTCAGTAGTCCTGGAGATGTGAGCCATGGGTCTCCAGGTAAGCCTAACGCTGAACCTCCAACATTTCTGAAAAAATAAATTTCAAGTTATTAATATTAAAGAATTTTTTATTTCATCATTAGAAATTATCAATGGGAGCTTCTTTTATACTTTTCGATAAAATTTATATAGTTATTTTATTCGATCGATAAAAAAAATAGAAAGAAAAGTCAGATTATTATTCACATAATAAATCAAGGATTTATTTTTGAAAAAACAATTAAAAACAATTAAAAATAGCTAATTTCAAAAAATCGACAATTTTTCTCAAAAATGTCAATAACTATTCCATCGATCATAATAATAGAAAAATTTTTTTTCTCTAGAGAGTATATTTAAAGAAAATCTTTTTTGAACAAAAAAATGTCCCGGATAAGTCAATTTTTGAAGAAATGATGGCTATCTGAAATAAATAGCCATTTCTATGAACAATTCATTACTTTTCGAGTAAAAAAAATTTGAAAATTTTCTGAAATTCATTTTCAATGGGACAGAAAAAGATAAAAAATTGGCATGGCATGTAATGCCTCGTAGATTTTCGGTTAAAGAGGTTACGTAAAAATTTATGCCCTAACTCATAAAATATAATTTAAGACTACTTCAATGTAAGCCATCAAATTACTTTGAGTTTCTTAGAATCGTATTTTGAAAAAAATTTTTCAATCTATGAAGATCTAATTAATTTTCTAATATACGTAAATCAGTTTTCAGGCCAAATTTGTTTGACATAGATCCAATTTGTGCTACGTATAGCTTCAACTTAATTTAAATAGGTTTCTGTGATTATTAGGTCTACATAGATCAGCTTTGATATACGTAGATCTATTGTAGATAAATGCTAAAATAAATTTAATCCGAGTAGATATAAGTTAATTTGATGAAATTTTCTGAATTTTTATCGTTTCAATTATCTCTTAAAAATTGAATCATTACCTCATGTTAGATGGATGGTGATAATCCGTTATACCAAGCCTCGCAGCTTCCATTTTTTCTTGCCTCCGCCATTTAGCTCTTCTATTTTGAAACCATACCTAAAAAAAAATTTTTTTTTTATTTAATAATGATTTTCTTTCGTTTTTCTATTTGAAAATTATACTTTTGCTTATTCTACTAATAATTAAATAACGTATTGAGAAATAAATCATTGAGTTCCAAACTAATTAAAGTATTTTGATCTTCCTCATTATTAATCTAAAAAGATGAATATAGAGGCAATGTAGATATTCGATATTATGGCTTGATTTATAAAAAAGGCCATTCGGCATCCGAAATGGAAGAAGATTTCATTTTATTTCGTTTCTGTCGAAAGAACAACTGCAAAAGTAAAATTTCTTAAAAATTATTCTAAGGTGGATATTTATTGATTTAGAAAAACATGTAAACATGTACATTGAAGCTTAATTTCTCAGCTTTCAGATGCATTTTACAGAAATTGAATATATCAACGTGTTCAAAAGTTATTTGAAGGAGAAGTAGTGAGAGTATGAAATTTTCGAAATTTTAAAATGCTGTCATTTCTAAACTAATTAACTGATTGAGCTCATATTTAAATTTGACCTACGTAATCGTCTATAAAAAAATTAGGAAAACGGTTGACGCTGAAGGCCACCCCTACAACTTCCCGCTAATTCCATACCTAGGCGCTTAAAATTGCACTAATGATGTTTTTACGCTCTTCGAGCTCAAAAATACAATTTGTGTGTTATTTTGAGCTCTCCGAGCTTAAAGAGATAGCTTTCCTATGCTTTTAAGCTCTTCGAGCTCGAGTCTGATAGAAGGATCATAGAACACTATTTTTTGAATTTTCAAACCGCAATAACTTTTGAATAACCGCAATAACTGATTTTCACGTAGTTGGCGGTATTCGGCGCAATTTTTTAAGCCTCATAAAGAATCTTTAAGTTTGAATTGATCGAACAAGGAATTTCGGAGTAATTCCGAAAAAAGGGTTTTTTCGGTTTTTTTTCGACAACGTTAATTAACTCACGAACGAATCAACTGATCTCAACCGGCTTGGCAGCGATCGACGTAGTTTTTCGATGTTAATAGCTGATTAGTTTTTTGAATTCATCGGTAAAGCCGTTTAAAGTTATTCCAAAAAACCACCTTCAAAAAAAATTTTTTTTGAAGTTTTTCTGAGATTTCTCAAAATTTTTAAAATCTATCGGTCCGAATTGGTTCAAATTAACAGAAAATCTAAGTTTGAGGGAACTCTTTAGAACACCGTTTGGTAGGTTCCGATCGGCTTAGTCGTTCAAAAGTTATAAGCGGTTCACATACTCACACACACACACACACACACACACACACACACACACACACACACACACACACACACACACACACACACACACACACACACACATACATACATTCAGACATAGTGACAACATCGCGGGGGTAGTCAGGGAAGCTCCTTGTGACCTTCAAACATCGAGATCTGATGAAATCTCGATTTTTGCAAATTGTTATTAACTAACACACTGAAAAAAAAGTTTTCTGCTCGGCACCATCTATTGTATTGCAACGAGTATATCGTAACGGGTATAATCCGTATAGCTACGAGTAGCAGTCTGGATAGCAACCATCACGATCCATTCGGGTGCCATTCACGATACTATTGCTACGGTTAGTATACAGTTTTCCTAACCTCACTCTCCTCTAGATAGCAACGTGTATATCGTGACAGCAGCAATATCGTATCGTGCAGAGGAGAAAATTTTTTTTTCAGTGCACGCAAAAATGCTAGAGGTTTAAGAAACTTTTTTTATTGCAATGACGAAAATTTTTTTATTGTGCCGGGCGGTTTATATAAATAAAATCAATTGATAATCTAAGTGTATATTTATTAATATCGATGCTAATAATAATAATTAACAATTGATAATTTTCTGTAATTATAATAATTGATAATTTAGCACCATTTGTTATGAAATTCATTGTTCATTTGAGCATAAGTGCGTTTTACAGCTAATATAAACTTGATATTATTGAGGTAATAAAGTTGTATTGGATGCATAGTTTTTATTATTTATTATTATATAATTTTTAGCATGTATCATGTTGCCAGCTTATGATTTCAAAATTATTTTTCGCTGACGAATTGATAAAATTGACTTATAAAAAAGAACCGGTAGATCGGTAGATAACAGGCCACACATTATACAACATGAATTAGATACGGTAGCACTTTGAAATAAGATAATGTATGTTGATAAATGTTTGAGAGTTATACTTTAAAGTCATTAATAAACCTCGGCATCTCTTTTCTATCCTTTAATTAATAGTTTAAAACCGGCTACTGCTTTTGATGCTCATATAACTAGAATGAAATTTGCTGAGTAATTGCCAGCAAAAATGTGCTATTAAGAGTTAGTTATAAGGTTTATACAGTAATTTAAATTTTCAGAAGGACTCTCGACAAAGTATAATGAAAAATGGTATGAATATTTTATTATTTAAAGAATAAGTGAGAAAACCGGTAGGATAACGAGAGAGTTAGGGGCCGCGAGAAATAATATAAGGTGGTATATATGTAATATAAGTGAAGAGTTCTTTATTTCTTTCTGTAGAGTGTGAAGATCACTGCTAAAGAGAGCCGATGGGCGAGAAAAGTATAAAGCTTGGGGCAAAACGTCTGGGCGGAGCGGGCTGGTCCACCCCTAAACTAGCTTGTAAGAAAGGCTAGGGGATCACGTCGGTCCACCCTTCCTTCGAGATCAGGAGGGTAACGAGCTCGAGGGTGAAATCGAAAGTGAGCGAGAGATCAAAAGAGGGTCTTGGACGTTTCACGGGAGGGGTTCTAAGTCGGCCATGTTGATTTCTTTATTGTAACATGGCTGCTCCTGGCAGGCTGCCGCGCGGCGTCAAACTCGAGATGCGCGTTTCTTAACAGGCTGAAATGTTGTCGCATTTCCCAAAAGTCAACGTCTCTTAAATTTATATTACAAATTGATGACTTCAAATTCTTTATGTAATTTTAATTTCAATTTTTTTTATTCCACGCGACATAATATGAAGCGCTAGAGAATGCTTTACGATCGAAAAATTGTTATACTCTTGTTCGTTTACGGAACCAAAATAGTTTGCATACAGTTGTATAGAGATAATTCAATCGAGACTAATTCTGTGAGTTTTAAAAATTGATTGAGTTTAGAAGAAAAGAAAAAAATATCAAAATGGACCGACAAATTTTATAGTTTGTAATGTAAAGTATAATTATTGATATCTTCTAATATATGCTCATTTCAAGCCTGATGTAGTCATATATGCCCTTACGTAATTTTTCAATCAGAGCTAATATTATAAACCTCCGACGGAGGGCGTATGATCGGTAATTCCTCTCCATACAACAGACTTGAATTTGAGCTATTAAAATTCTCAAATAGAAATCATGTTTTTACTGTCTTAAAGAGCTTATTTGTGATTGGTTTTTATTTGAATCGACTAGTTTTTGTTTAATATGAAATTTTAAATGGCGTACATATTTCTAGGAAAGATTGAAAAATTATCATAATCTATTTTTTTTTATTATTTTCATATATATCCTAATATGGTTATGTATGATCTGATATGGTCGCATATAAAAATTGGCGATATGTGGTTATATTAAAAAATTATGTCACGAGATGTTAAGCAATATAAAAAAGTGTGTAGCTTGGAAACACGATAAATTGACAAAAATTTAATGTTTATAATTAGATCATTTTTTTAAATAGTTTCATTTTGTCACTAAAGGATTTGGTTTCTCAAATGGCTATCTAACTCGATGCCGTTTCTTTGTTATTAGTAATAAAGAAAAAAATATTATCAGTCTTTTTGTATATCTAAAATACACCGATAAATTTTTTTCCTTACGTGCATGCCTATAAATCTAGCTGATGCTCAGTTTTATGAGTAAGAAAAATACCGCACAATATTTAAAATAAAATTAACGTAAATAATCAATTTTTTTTCCACTTTATTACTCTATAAATCAGCAATAAAATATATTTTTCAAAAAAAATTCAATAAGCATTGACTCATGTACTTGTGGATTTTCCAAACATATTTTTTTTTTATTAATATTCAAGTTTAATAAGTATACTTGGGTTTATATCTATTCTTATGTATTTTTTATAATTTAAAACAATAAAAACTAAATAATTTTTTATGGTATATAAGATGAAAATGAAATAATATTTGTAGATAACAACTCGGAGCAAATTGGATGCATACCTTGTTTATCATGAGAGCAAGAGTTTGAAAGAGAAATAAAAAGAAATAATGATAGAGAAAAACAAAAATAAGAGATTATAAAAAAAAATAAAGAAGGAGGACGTTCCTGGAGACGACATTCCCGAGCTCATCAGGATGATATTCTATTTATGACGAGAGGCAATTTTCTTTCAGCGTTCAGCAAATGAGAAAAGACTACGGACAAGATGCCACGCTGAAATGATGAGAAAATAAGTAAATTTTACTTTATCCTCTTATCTTCTCGACAGTATACGATATGACGGCGGCGGGCGTCGGAAGATCGCGATGGATAGAATGAGAAGTGACTGTCGTCTTTCTTTTAGATTATATATTTATTTATAAACACAGATATAGTTTACTTCAATATTCTTTCCTTGCTGACAAGGGGCTGATAGCCACGCGAGCACTCAAAATATAGATAGAATCTTTAAGAAAACGAGAGTTAAATCAAGCAACCGGCGGAGGTTGTCGTTTTCATCTTCTCGCGGAAATATAAAGAACCGGACTAATGCAGCTTAACCTCTTTAAGGGGTAAATCAGTTTAAATAGGTACTTCCCTTAGTACAACTTTTATTCTCTCAATGATATTCTCAGCCAAACTAATTTCAATATTAAGCTTTAATTTTTTTTTAATTCGTTTAACTCAGAAGTGGATTAAATATACATCATGAAATTGAAAGCTATATCGAAGAGATACATTGATATTTTTACAAATAAGATTGTTTTCTGAACAACATTTGAGTTTTTGATTTAGTATTTAAAATTGGTGCCATTCGAAAGGGCTTCACCAAACTTAGATTTTGAATACACTTTGGACCGATTCGGACCAGTAGATTTTGAGGAATTTCAAAAAAAATACAAAATTAAATTTTTTGAAATGTGGTTTTTTTGGAATTACTTTCAAATGGCTTTACCGATCAATTCCAAAATCTAATCAGCTCGTTCGTGAGTTATCGTTGTCGAAAGAAAACCGAAAAAAGTGTTTTTTCGGAATTACTTCGAAATTTCTGGCTCGATCGATTTAAACTTGAAGATTCTTCATGGGGCTTTAACAACTGCGTCGAATGCCGCCAACCGCGTAAAAATCGGTTCATTCATTCAAAAGTTATTGCAGTTTGAAAATTCAAAAAATCGTGTTTTATTAAACTGCTATTAGAGTTTTGAGCTCGAAGAGCTCAAAAACG